ACGACCTCGTACTGCTAGATTGATAGAGACATCAATGGGTACATTCAGAACAACAATCGCTCAGTTAGAGCTATCTGATTGATCTATATTTTAGGATCTAATAGAATATGCTAATCAGGTGAAAGAGCTCATTGAGTGCTGTTACGTCCCAAGGTCCAACCGTTGGTAATTGATACCTGGACAAACTGGGGACCAATGGCGGGTAACAAATCGAGAGTTGCGCGTCCTTTCGGAGAAGAGGAAACCTACGGTAATCCCTTCATGAATCTTGCTGGTGGTTCGGTCCGTGGTGCGGGACACGCGGCTCAGTCTGGACTCCGGTTGGTCAGGCTCCTTGTAGGTGCTCGATGATTGGCCGGCGCTGATTCCGCTCGTTCACACACACGATCTCCAAGTTAAACGATAAACGTATACGCGCGGCGGCGTTTATTGTAAAAGGAGAGGTTTCGTCTAATATTAGTATATATACGTACTTATAATTGCTCAAAAGTAATTAGTGTATTTTATAACTTCTGCAGTTGCTACACACATATCCAGACTTATGTTATAACTAATAATTAGATGCGGTTAACTAGGAAGGTTAAATAAGATGTACCTATGATTAGATTGGATTGCTCACGCGAGTAGAATTAGGAATTTAGGAATTAATCTAGAAATCACGATACTCTGGAAGAGACCGTTTCTCTTCGACTAGACCTGACCCCGGGAGGTTTTGAACTAACTCCTTAAAACACTCGCTGCTCGCGAGAGAGAGCAAGTCCCGTTTTTTTAGAACCCGAACGCTTTCAGGAAAAAGGTGCCCCTTCATGCTGGTAGGGCGCGTGAGGTGGGAGAAGATGTCAGGGGCGGTCCCTGCAGTTCTAGTGCCCCGTCGGTTATTGAAGTAAGGAAAAATTTGTAATTTGGCCAGGGACATTCCTGGACAAGTTTTATAAGTACCGCTGACGTGACAGTGCTCAGTAAGCGATTGGCATTCTGAATGTATCCAATGATGTTTAATCTTTAATCGGAATCGATCAATCGTGAAAATGCTTTAAAGTTACATGAGTCTCTCTTTCTCTTTCTTTCCTCTCTCTCTCTCTCTCTCTCTCTCTTTCTCTCTCTCTCTCTCTCTCTCTCTCTCTCTCTCTCTCTCTCTCTACGGGTACATTTAGTACTACAATCAGTCACTGAGTGCTTAGTGAGCTCTTGCACCTGTTTGGTCTATATTTTTGGATCTATTGGAATATGTATATAAATACGTACGTAAAAATAATTACAAACATATATAAATATTTGATGGTTTTTTTTGGCAGTATTTCAAATAGAATTTAGCGGATAATTTTTTCAATAGTTGACATCAGTGGCCTAGTTTCCACCGAGGATTTAATCCGAATCAGAATATAAAAACCAACTAACTACAGTCAAGTATTCCTCTGTTACAGTCGAACGACAGGGGAAATGTTCGATTGTAATTGTTGATTCTTACATTCTGATCCGGATTAAACCCTCCAATGGAAACTACTAGGTCACTGAGGCACTCGGTGATATTTCTGAACGTCGCTTAAGGGTGATATTTCATTTGTGCGTTTTTGTCGTACGACAAATTTTTCAAGCCTTGATTGGCTATGAAATAGAGAGATCCAAGGGCCTATCTGTTCTATATACATTTGTTGTATGATAAAAAACGGTCAAATGAAATAGCATCCTAAGTCGATGGGGTTTGAAAGAGGCCCTTAACCTCTAAACTCGCGAACGCTTTATAACAATTATAACTCGCTTCGCGAGGTAAACTGCCGTGTTTTTTTTGCCAGATTCTTTCGTTTTCAGTGAATGAATTTAATTTTATTAAAATTAGAGGTAAGGCAGCTAGTCTAAATAATCACCAAATATAACATAAACGTTGTTTGTAACAGTAAAGCTAATTCTATTATACAATGTGCTTTTTGTTTTCTATTTCTTGCTGTTTGTCTCTGTCTTATTGACCAAAAAGGCAAGAGACAAACAGAGACAAACAGCAGGAAACAAAGAGCACATTATAAAATTAGTCTTAGGAGCTCCGTAGAAACTGTATTCTACAATACATTTCTGATAAGTTGAAATTCTTATTCTCTGTTCTCTGTTCCTTTTATTGTGCAGAGCCCCATAACATTGTTGAGTATTATCAGAGAGAGTAGTATCAGAGAGATCTGATATAATATTTGTATTATATTACTGTTTGTCTTTACTGGAATGCTGTTGATGCAATAACATAATTTTATTGGATTTTAGAAATGTATGAAAATCCAAACTTTCTAACAGATACTGGACTATCAAATTGCTCTAGAATGTCGAACAGTCAGAATAGGTTCTTATAAATATACCTCAAGAATATACTTATATACCTCAAGAAAAAGTAGTAATTTGCCGTAATGGTGTAAGATTTCATGTACCTTCATTAGAAAATGATAGATTAATTTTATATATAACAGAAATGTTGGGTGGAAAGATTTATAAACTCTGAAATATTTGAATATTTTACAGATTCTAGTTTTGTTACTTTTGATGTAAAGTATGAAGATATAATTAAGTTCTTTGTTCATTTTGGAAAAGCAATGCGCCAGTAATATTCTTCTTTATGCAAGAACAGGAACTATTATATATGAATTATTAGGAATGCAAGATCTAACGGGACCATATGACCCTAGTGGAAAAGTATTTACATGATATATATGAATTTTCTATATTTTAAATAGTTCTGTAATTTGATGATTATTTAAAAAAATATTTAATCTACAATTTTTAACATTTATATATTATATATATATATATATATATATATATATTAGTTTATTTCAAGTAAAAAAGTTCATATAAACATGTGTCCTAAAATGGCTTAATCCTAAATGACTTAATTTCTGAAATATAAATGAATGTTCACAAATGTTTGACGAAACGGTAAATTAGAGATATCTTCCTGCACAAATATGCCTTGCTTCGTGATCATTCGCACAACCGTAAACAAAGTGACAAAGTCAAAGTCAAAGTCACAAAATCAAAAATAGACTTCAGTACTGATATTACTGCGGATCATTGGCTTGTACATACGCTTTCGGGTCAAATTGTTTCAGTCCATCAAAATCGGTTTCATCATGCCTAAATTTACAAATTTTGAAATGACAGATATGCACTTTGCCTACGGTCTTGCAAATGATAACTCACGTGAGGCAAAGCGTATTTATGTAGAAAGATATCCCTAACGCAATTTATCATGTTGTAAAACATTTGCGAATATTCACTGCTATCTTCGAGAAAAGGGTTCTTTCGTAAGAAATACTGTCGATCTTGGAAAGATCTTTTCGTAAGAGATCTATGATTGTTAGAACACCAGTACTAGAGCAAACTTTTCTTAACGAAATCGAAGCATATTCAGAAAGGTACACAAGGAAAATAGCTAGGACATTAAATGTGAGTAATTGTATCATCTGGAGAATTTTGAAAGACCAACAGTTATATCCTTATCACATACAACGTGTACAGAGACTTTTACTATGCGATTTTCCACAAAGACTAGCTTTTTGTCGATGGATTCTTATTTTGGAACTTTTTTATTTCGAAACTTTTTTATTTCGAAAACTAAACCGTTTAGGACACATGTTTATATGGACTTTTTTACTTGAAATAAAGAATCGTTCAGTTGAGTATGGCAACATTAACTAACACCCTGTATATATAATATATATACAAAAAATATATAGATTTTTAAGGGGATCCTAATGATGATTGTACTCAACGAGAGAATGACCTCAGATCAGACGAAAACTCGTCTGTTTTGCGCAGATCTTCATAACATTGTACAGCGTACACTGCCTCCTATGTACAAACCGACATCATTCTCTCATTGAACAGAGTATAGTTATATAGTATAAGTAGGATTTACACGCAGATAATTTATGTCATTGACACATCACTACATACTATTACATCAATATCTCACATCCATACACATAAATACATATAACAGTAACGTTTTAATTAGACATCTAAATCCAATTCTAAAATCTCCATGTTGTTTCTTTGTGCAAACTATTATAATCTGTGGACTATTTATTTCATAGGTACAGATTGCACAGCTTTTATATAAAGTAAATGTCTCAATGTGACAGCTCATTTAGAGTACTAAATTGGACTAAGAAATGGAGAAAAATCTCAATTTCGAAATTTTTGTTGTTTTTGGCATAAATTCCACCTTATAGATATTTTTATTAATGCTTATATTTTAATCTTGGAAAAGAATTTTCAAATCTGTGAAAGAGGGAAAATGTTAATGTTATACAAAAGTTACATAGTTTAGTTAGTAATACAGACGGCTTTAGGAGCCTCTTAATAGCAAATCCGAATGATTAATACTTTAAATTAATCAAATAAACAAGAACGCAAGTTCTTGTGGTAGCGAGATAATATTTTATTCTGTTGGTGTCTAAATAATAAGTATAAACATTTCGGTCTCAATTAGGTCTTCTTCATTATACTTCATTAATACTTTATATTTTTATTATTTATTTAGATCTCGTGCATAAATATATTACACTATTACCAAATAAGTGTTCGGAAAATTTTTTATCGACTTTTTACTACATTTTCTTATTTTTACCAACATAAGAAAATACAGTATTAAAAAATTTTGAAAAAATTCTTGGGATACCTTGTATATAATATAACATATATTTTTTTAATATAATATTTTTATGTATACATATTTTTATGTATTTTCACAGAATTCGTTACAGTTATTTATTACTATACAGAAAAACCAAATCAAAACTTAACAAATGTTATCGATGTAGGAAATGATGATACACAAACGTGAGAATCTTATTAATAATCAACTTTTATCTTTTATATAGAATTTGATATTTGATATATCGGACAAAATTTTACAATCTTATCTATCTAACCTAATATTATTTCAATTCTTTGTGCATTATTATAAATTTGTGATGAATGTGATTATTGAATGTTTGTTGTATGAAAACTATTTCTTTTTTATGGAATAGTTATATATCCAGCACTTCCTACAAAAGGAGGAATAGCCATCAATATTTACGTATGTCTCCCAGAAGACAATTTCTTGAACGATGTAATTATAGATTTTTATTTAAAGTATTTGTCCTTAGAGGTATTATCAGAATTTGATCAACATAGAACGCATGTGTTCAGTTTGTTTTTTTACAAACGTTAAAACTAGTTTATATGTTCATATGCTCAAAATACCATGTCAATGACACTTGTCGTCAAGCGGCACGCAAGAATACAGACGAAGGACATCGATATATTTGAAAAAGATTTTGTTATAATTCCTATAAACAAAAAGTAATTCTGTAAGTTTAATATTAATTTAAACTCAGAACAGAGAATCTTAAAGGTAGGGATGTATCAGATTATAAAATGCCAGATATCGGATATTGGATATTTGGAAAGAACATGACACCAGATATCTGATATTCGATCGAATATCCGATAGAGTAATTATCCGGGTGGATATTCTCTAATTTTACAATTTCTCTATTCTTTTTTAAAAAAGAAAGGAGAAAAGGAAAACAAGGGAAAAATAGCGATAATAATTTTCTTTATCTTTTCAACCTAAAAAAAAGTGGAAAGATAAACTATGCAAGAAGTTTAGTTGAAAAGAATAGAAATTTGTATCCATGTGACTTTGTAAAATTTCAGCCGGATATATATTACCGGATACTAATAATATCTGGCTATCGGATAGGAAAAAGGCTAGATAAGGCCGATTCTGAATGCTTCCTGATACATCTCCACTTAAAAGTTAAAATCATTATTGGGACATCAGATAAAAAAGAGTTTAATTGCGTAATGAGAGAAAAAGAAAAAATATTGAAGTCTTATCGTATTGTAATTTATCTTATATTAAATTTGTAACTTGTAATAAACAAGTAAATCAATTTTATTTATTTTATTCAAGAAATTCTATTGACTTATGGTAACATAGATATTATATTATTTTAACAATATAATATTTATAGTGCACATTGGTTCTTGGTTATTGTTTGTTTTCCTGGATTACTTGAAAAAGTTTCCACTGCGAAAACTAGAGAAAACGATAGTAATAAAACTGTGCAAAAGATAAAAAAAATAAGAAGAATTGAAAAAACCTATTACAATTGATTTTACAACAATTCCTCCTGTACCAATCATAACAATAGATTACGGATCTGAAAGAAACGAAGCAGAAGACAATGATGATGAAATAAAAATAGAAATAGATAAAAAGGTAGAATAAATTTTATCGTTGATAATTGTCTTTCCTTCTAAAGTTCACTTTAGACGATCTGTAATTCTCGATCAAATTCAGGACAGAATTTTATTTATTGCGTATCATGTAACATAGAATAGAAAATATTTGAAGAAGTAAATACACATATATAGAAAATATGTATCAGTGATATATATTTTCTGTGCATATTTTTTCAAATGTTTTCTATGTTACATGACACTCAAAACTATAAATAGAATTCTATTTTGAATTATAGATCGTTTAAAGTGGGCTTTAAACAATTGAATATACTGAATCATTTTACTTGTAGAATAAGGCTGACCAATAAAAAAAATGCAATCCAAATTAATGTTAAACTTGAGAAGCAGAAGAAAATCGTCAAAAAATAAATAGCCATATCATGTATTTGATATAATCTATATGTATTTGATTTTATTTGAATGATTTAATTTATAGACCTTGTATATTAATATTTGATTCGCTTCCTGATTAGAACACGGATAATTGCTACATTAAGAGATTATTTAAGTTGCGAATATGTTGCCAAACTTGGTGTAAAAAAAATATTCTCAGAAGATACTATTAAGGGAGAATGTCTGAAAGTACACCAGCAATCAAATTTTGCTGATTGCGGATTATATGTATTACAATATGTGGAAAGTTTTTTCAAGATAAGTATAAAATAACTCTATTTTTTTATTTACTCTTTAAATGTCTGATTACGTATTATCAATGTGATTGAGTTAATTTCTTTTTTTTTACGATCCTATTAAAGATTATACTTTGCCAATTAAAATCTTGAAAAAATGGTTTAAAGAAATTATCATAACGAGGAAAAGAGAGGAAATATCAAACTTACTAATTAAATTGATGAGCAATACCAAAGGGAATGAAACTTTGATTAATTTGCCTACTACAAATTTCCCCAAACAAGATAGCAAGCTGAAATCGAAAGTTAAAAATTGGACAGATATAAAAACTGCGAAGTTGGAATCCAAGAATAATAAAAGATCTACAAGTGATACAAATTTGTTAGGTCAACTTACTTGATCATTCCTTATTCTTTAAGTTAATTCGACCGTAATGCATTTTCTCGTATAATTAAATAAAATATTAATCTCGTTCTACATTAAATTAATACAGCTGCATTAATTTCGATCATTTTATCGATCATTTTATCGATCATCGACTGAAATGCGGAATTAAGATAATTCTTGTATCACTGTTAAAAAATACAAAATGGAATCTTTTAGTTTCTTTAAATAAAAGTTTCTTTTTTTGAATGATTAAAATTACAGCCATTAATATTACTCTACATTTTGTTAGAATATAACAATGAAATTCTTTGTTTCAACGTATACATAAAATAATGTAGTTAATTAAGTAAACTTGCACATATGATTTTTTATATTATATTGCGCCATTCAATTCTCTCTGTGAGATTTTTTATTAATTGTCACGAAAATATGAAAGTGTATTTTCAAATTACGTTTTGGATATAATTTTATTTTACTAAGTAATTTTTCAAAATTATTTTAAATATATTATTCTTTAAATCGGATTTAATAATTTTGTGCTTTATAACATACAAGATGACAAGCTGAAATCCAAAATTGGAAATACGGATGTGTAACTATAATAATATAATTAATTCATAAATTGAATAAAACTGTAAGTATAATTTCTATTTGTGTAATTATGATTAATCTTTATGATTTATAGATCAAATGAACTTACCAAGTGAATTAATTCGTAGCGTTTTTAAATGAAAGAATGTTATTTATTTCACATGAGCATTAAAAAATACATTAATGAAAGTACTTCCCATCACTTGTAAAACGCTACGAATTAATTCCAACACCTAATATGTCGATGGGTCTCGTTCGGATGGAGAAATAATTGTAGTAGTGCGCCCGCGCACGTTCAGTCAACAGAATTCAAAATCTAGGGGAAAGGAAAAAGAAATTTTTTCCTTTCCGTATAGCGGCGCTTTCGGCGCCGCGCGTGCTCAGCCATTTTCATAGTTTAGAACAGGAAAGATTCGGGAAAGAGGCACCTAGTGACTGGAAACTGGGGAGGTCAAGGGAGGGATACTCCATTGTATTTACCGACTGAGGGGGGATTTTGGAAGTTGTTACGCGAGCTCTGACAAGGACTCGAGCCACTTTCTCGCAGGCCTGCGCATCCTTAACTTCATCCATGAAAGAGATGCCGAAAAGCCACTCATCTATTAGAGCCAGATCGGCTATCGATTTACCCAGTAGGTTCAAGGCCGGTTTTATGAAGGTTCATCTGGCTAAGGATAACCTGTATTAATGATCCGCTAACAGTTGTATGGCCTCAGCGATTTGGCTGAACTCTAAATGTTATGTTTGTGTGAATGGTTAATTCGATACAGTTTTCATCATTTTTATCTTTAATAGCAATCGCGAACTTCTGCATCGCGCCTTCTCGCATGGAAATATAATCAATTAACTCGCGAAGAGCCTTCGCTGACTCTTAGCTACGATGGACATTGTGAACAAACACTCAATATATTTTTTCTTGAGCGACCTAGGATCATCATATCTACTTAGCAGTAATTCCCAAGTCGTCGAATAACTTTGATCCGTTAGCTCGATTGACTCAATAATTTTAGCAGCGTCCCCTGAGATTGACGAAATTAAATATTGAAACTTTTCGACATCAGACAGTTGCGGTCTGACATGTACGATTGATCGAAAGCTGTCAGAAAAAGCTTTCCAATCCTCGATTTTGCCATCAAACCTCAGTAGTTTGATGGTAGGCAACTTTACTCTAGTATCTATGCTAATCGTACCTGCATTGTTTGCCACGCGGTCAAGTATGTCGGTTTGTCTCGCGAGAATGGCCGAACAACGTCTCGTTATTACTACGCGGTGTCATGGCGTCCGCGCCTTCATGCTGAGCATCGCGATGCATTTGTTCCATGAGTTCGGTTTGCTATTGCAACAATCGAGTGACTGCCGTCTGCTTCTCGCGGTCCGACGCCGACGATAGCTTCATGCATCGCTTTAACAAAGATTTTACCACAAAATATCTTTCTTCGAAACATTCTTGCTCTAGTGCGTCCTCGTCATTAAATTCGCCCTCTTTTTATAGTAATTGCTTTTATATGGACTCGAAATCGTTATACATATCTTCTAATTTCTCCAGCCTTGCCTCTGCTTGTTCCTCGTCAAGCTCAATGCCTGTCCCATCATTGGCTTGCGTCACTCTTGTTCGTAATCCTTTGCATCCTCTGATAAAAACGAGGATATCTCAGGCTTTGTGAGACAAGAGAGCTCCATGCCCAAAGTTTTGAAGACAGCTGCCACCTGCGACTGAGCCAGAAACTGGTATTCGTCCCTCTTAAATACCGTCGAAGAGGTCTTAAGTACCAGTAGAAGCATCTTAGGTTTAAGGCCTAAAGCTGAAAGTCCCTCCTTAACCTCAAATTTTGACAGCAGCTGCGTACGCAAATCGTTTGGCAGCCTGGTTCGAACAGATCTGGTGAAATCGAGTATGGTCTGATCTCAGGGTAGATTCTCAAGCAAATCACGCTGGATGCGGAAAAGCTGGCTAACGAGGGATAGTTCACCATCCTGCTCGGCATCCGCGGTCTCAAAAGTGACCGAGCGATCCACCGGATTTGGTATCAAAGCTGAGAAAACGCAGGGAAGCGGGTGGTGGAACATACATTTCAGTGCCGCAGAAGAGACGTCGGTTAAGCTCTCTTTTTGCCAATTTTGAGAAAAAAAAGGGTCGACAAGGGAACTTACCTAGTTCAGTGCCCCGGCTCTCAGGAGCCGTCGGCTCTTCTTGTGGCTGCAATTCGGGGAACGCAGAGCGTGCCCCCTAACCTCGTTTTGCAAACAGATTATTTCGTCCCTGCTCCTGTACTGCTTTGAGAATCCTTTCTAGGAGAGCTGCGTCGCCGACCGCTGGAGAAGCCCTCAACGAAGACGACTGCGAATGATTCTCAAAAAAGAGACGAAAACGCTTAATTTCATGCGGACGAGAATGTGACTCCGTGTTTTTTCCCACTCTCATGAGAGCGTTTTCTATGTTTCTTATGTTCTCTTGATCTTGATCGACTACGAGAATATGAATCCGACATGTTATTAAGCCAAAAAGTACGGTAAGATGAAAAAACTCACTAGGAACGTTGGCCGATGTGAACAGAAGACGGCCGAAAGCGCCGCTGTACGGAAAGGGAAAAATTTCTTTTTCCTTTCCCCTAGATTTTGAATTTTGTTGGCTGAACGTGCGCGGGCGCACTATTACAATTATTTCTCCATCCGGACGAGACCTTGAGGCATAATTAATCCTATAGTGGGTCATATAACCGGAAATTTTCGTGAATAAGGAAATTTTCTGTAATAGCAACATTATTTTTTAATTGGTTCTAATCATCAAAATGAGTTTACAGGTGAGTTTGTTGCACGATTCGTTGACCGGAAGGCCTTTGTTTTTAAATCTTTATGCAAAATTTTTTCCTGTTTTCTATTTAGTTTTTTTTATATTTTTCTCAGCTTGTATCGTACATAACCTAAAAAAAAATAAAAACTGCCATTATTAGTGATTTTTGGCTTTTCCTTTGTAACTTGGGTTTAAATGCATATATTGGGTCATCTAAAAAGTATCCGCGGTACTTTGTCACTAGATATATGACCATCAACACACATCTAGTGACAAAAAACCGCGGATACTTTTTAGATGACCCAATATATTAATGACAATGCGAGAAAATATAGCTTTTATGGTCACAAAAATGTGTGCCAAAGCTTAAAAAAGGTTAAAAAATTTTGAAAAAAGCGGCCAGAAATTGCATTGTAAAAATTTGCTTGTCTATTTTGGGCAAAAGGTCATAGAATAAACTTTTTTTTTTTAATCCGGAATTTTGTGTACTTTAAGGACGTCATAAAAAGTTTTTCGAAAATTGAAAAAAAAACATTTTTTTCGATTTTTTTTTGAAAAATTTTCCCATTTTTGGTTTTTTTTTGGACAAAAAATTGTTTTTAATGTAAATTTCAATTATTTATAAAATCCATTAATGCTCTTTAAACATACGTCAAAATATGTATTTAACGAAAAAAAAAAAATTGAACCAAAAACAGGAAAAAACCAAAAAATTTTGCATAAACATTAAAAAACAAAGGCCTTCCGGTCAACGAATCGTGCAACAAACTCACCTTTAAACTCATTTTGATGATTAGAACCAATTAAAAAAATAAAATTGCCATTACAAAAAATTTTCTTATTCGCGAAAATTTTCGATTATATGACTCCACTATTAATACGTACCTTAGACTCGGTTGCACCAACGTTACTTTGACTTTAAGTGAACTAAAAACTCTCTTTCTCGTTTTAAAGCGAAAAAGAGACAGAGAATTTTGAGCCTCACTTAAAATCAAAGTAACGTTGGTGCAATCGGGTCTTAATCGTATTTAAATGAAGAACCATGCAAAATTTAAGTTAATATATTAATTAAGATACAAAAATTGGCTCTTTGAATCTAAAAATTCGATATAAATAATAAAGGACTAGTGAGCCAAACTAGTTATTCGTGCTTATAATATTATTTAATGTGCAAAATAAAAATTATTTAAGTATAAACACACGTTTTGACCCTTTACATTGGGTCATCCCCAGTGTACAATTTATAACGTACAAAAAGTAAAAAATAATAATCAAAAACCAATATTACATGTTATTGTTTATATAAAATCTTTGTTATATAATAAGTAAATGTTTTTGACGATTATTTTTATTTTTAATTTTTGTACGTTATAAATTGTGCACTGAGGATGACCCAATGTAAAGGGTCGAAACGTATGTTTATACTTAATAATTTTTATTTTGCATATTAAATAATATAAGCACGAATAACCAGTTTGGCTCACTAACCCTTTATTATTTATAATAAATTAATATATTAATAAATCAATAAGACATAAATTTAATCATTCTAATGTGATATTGAATTTAATGTGAATGAGTTTCTCCTTTGTATAATCATATAAAATATAAATCTTGTGGCTTTCTATACACATATTTTTGTTTTCAAATTATGGAAATGCGACTGTGTGATACTAATAATATTTATATGTATGCATTGTATTCTCATTGTTATAGATTTATATAAATTTATGACTACAAAGTGTTTTTCCTAACATATATTAAATATACATAACTGCTGATTAAATAAATAAGATATATATTGTACGTTAACAAAGTCCTAACATTATATAATATTAATTTTATTCATCGCGAGAGAGATAAACTTCACATTATATGTATAATATATAAATCTTAACTTAAATTACGTCTTAATTATGAGCGATTTTTATACATTTTTTTTCCTGAGAAACATTTCATTCATCTGGAAAATAAATGTGTCACGAGAGTGATGTCGATTTTTATTTGTTTTACAAAAATAAAAATTTAAATATATAATACATTATTTTTTCGAAATCTGCTTTTTTAAGTTACTGTATCTATAGAAGGATAGAGAGGGGATGGAAAAATTGTTACATTTGTCGCATTTTAATCATGCTGTTATGTCTCACGTCTTTTAATCATTTGATTTTTCTAAACTCTTGCAGCATGTTTGATTTAAGGATTATTGCTATAACATCAAAAATTTTAATAAAAATTATATATAAGGGAGCGAAGTTACTGTACGACGCTATCTCTCTATCTATATTTGTCAAGCAAGAAAACATTCCACTATAATTATTGTTGAGAAAAGAAATCTGATACTTCGAAGCAACTGAGAAGATATAGATTATATTCTACGGATCAACAGTGAATGCAATACCACCGGACTCGAGTCCTTTTATTCATCCGTGGAATCGGATTTCCGTATCTAGCTGTTTGATCGTTGTCGGCACGTTCGTTGTGGAAAGAATAGAAGACGGAGATGTCGAAGCCGCGATCGCTTCTAGGTCTTCTTTAGATAGATTTTTTATGAGCCAATTATCGATCACAGGCACGTTCTCCTCGTTCCATTTAGTCTCCTGATTAATGATCTTAAGCGCTTTCTTGATGATGGCATCCGCTGATTCAAATTCGTCCTGATGATCCATGTACAGCTTGCTCACCTTATCGTAACCTTCCTGCGTGTTGAACGACGACGTGGCAAAATTGACGATGCCGTCCCAGAGGAAGGTCTTGTTCTCGAATTGTTCTTTTACAGTGTACCAGTGATCGAGTAAGAAGTTGAACAGAGTTTTATAACCGGTCGCACTGCCGGTTAGCATACTGAAGATCAAGTGGATGTCCGAGTCCGTGAAATTCTCGTTTTGGTCCAGCACAGCTACTTGCAGCAATCTGATGCGGAGGATGCAAAAACAATATGATAAATATTTATCATTGATATTTATTCATTATTTTCTCGAGACAAAGAAAAACTTAGGTAGAAAGTAAAATCATAATTAAGTCATAATAATATCATAAGATATCATCATGATACTTAAAAATGAACTTACAAATGACAAATAAGATCATGATGATGTCCTTATAATATTATTATAATTTTTATGTTCTAATATGGTTCTTGGATAATCGTCATCTATATCTCATTATTGTTCTTTTCTATTAATGTATGATTAATTTTAATCTTTGTTTAATTTCCTCTTTATCTTTTTCTAATTCATAGAATTATAGCAATAAAATAAAACATAAATTAAACCGATTAAAGTTAATCTATATTGGTATAAGAAGATATATATATATATAAGGAGTCGCATTAGAGGTCAAGGGAAACAAAAAAGTCTTATACATTTTGAGATATTCACTATAGTTTTCGAATTAAATGATAAAACGTTTAAGTCAATGCGCGGTGACGCGCGAATTCTTAGGCCCATTACACCTTATTCCAAAACGGCGGCGCGCAGCAAGAAGGAAGATGCTTCGCTGTCTACACTATCCAAGAATGTTATTTTATTAAATTGAAAGAGTCGTTAAATTTAAAATAATTTTATATTCTACGACATGTTTCGAAAATTCGGTTTCACACATGGTCTCAATAAACGAATAAGTTCAAAAATGCGAATCTAATAAAGTCAATATATGCGTTTCTTATCAAAGTTTAACAATTAATCAATATATGGTATATTAATATAATAGAATAACAGATTAAAATAACTGAAAAAGAGTAAAAGTCTAAACTAAGTAAAAGTCGGAACGTTTTAGATTTAAGGAATTTTTCTGAGTATTCACTCCAGCCATATTAAATCGTGATGTCATAAGGGAGAAATATGTGATCTAAGTGATCTGATATAAGTGATCTTTCGACACGTTGATCTTTCTTGCCATTTGTAAATAAATTTAGGAGAATTTGGATGAAATGAAATGATGAGATCGCTTTAAAACACTTGTAAAAATGGACGAAAACTATTCTTATCTCTCTTAACAGTCAATAAATAGTCGTAAAAAGCACGTAAAATATTAGGTTGGTGCATATGAAATGTCGAATTTTCTTTACATATGAACATTTGTCTTCCTGTTTTCGTTATGCTTTTATTTTTGGCATAATCTCGTTTATATATATATATATATATATTGTCCATTGCCAGAGTCAACAAAGAAGATTTTCTCAAAAGATTTTCTCCTTTTGTTATTTGTTTTGAATTTCGTAAGGATATGAATTCAACCAATATTCATGTAATTTTTTTATATGAATATAAACTTGGTAATAATGTTGCAAAAGCTACACGCAATATAAACCAGGCGGGAGATTTGGGGAGAATACTGTTAACGATCGAAAAGTGCAGCGTTGGTTTGAAAAATTTCGGTCTGGTGATTTTTCTCTACAAAATGAACCGCGTGGAAGACCCAAAACGTCTGTGAAAAATGATGCTCTGAAAGCATTGGTGGAAACGAATCCAACTGTATCTACAACTTGCTACCAGTATGAAAGTTGACCATACAACGATATTGCGACATCTTTCTGAAATTGGCAAGATGAAAAAAATGGATAAATGGGTACCACACGAACTAACCGAGCGAAATAAGCTGAATCGATTGAACGTATGCTCATCATTACTAACCCGATTTCATCGACAGCCATTTTTCGATCGGATTATTGCTTGTGATGAAAAATGGGTTCTTTACGACAATAGGAAAAGATGTGCTCGGTGGCTTGATAGGAATGAGGCTTATGCTCATACTCCAAGGCTATCACTTCATCCACGGAAAATTTTAATAACAGTTTGGTGGAATGTGACTGGAATTCATTACTCATTTCTTCGAACTGGGGAGACAATTACAGAAAAGTACTGCCAGTACATTGATGAAATGCATGAAAAATTGAAAATTATACGCCCATCACTTGTTAATCGGCATGGCCCAATACTTCTCCACGACAATGCTCGGCCGCATACGTCGTACAAAACAATTGCGAAATTAAATGAATTAAAATATGAAATTTTGCAGCACCCAGCTTATTCACTGGATTTTTCGCCAATCGACTTTCATTTTTTTAAACACTTAGAACAGTTTTTACGGGCTAAACAGTATGAAAATGAAGACAGAAAATGAAGACTGAAAAATTCCATATCCAGAGTTTATTGATTCTAAAGATCAGAATTTCTTTAAGACAGGCATTTATGCATTAAAATCTCATTGGGAAAAGTGTATTGAAACAAATGGAGCATATTTTGATTAAATAAACAGCTTTTGAAAAAAGATATGCAGATATGCAAAGATATTTTATATATTCACTTAAAAATCCGACATTTCATATACACCAACCTAATACGTTTACTAGTTTTTACTCAATGTGCATGTCTATTAATCTATTTTCATTTCACTGAGTCTTTTTCGACTCTTTACTGACTATCAGGGGAGATAAGGAGAGCTTTCGTCCATTTTTATAAGTATTTTAAAGTAATCTTATCATTTCGTTTGATCCAAATTCTTTTTATTTACTTACAAATAGTATACAAAAAAATAATCATTTCTTGCTTTTGACGTTATGATTCAATTAAAAGTAATGAAAAAGGCTCTGTACTAATAAGCAAAAGGTAGTATAAAAGAAGGGCAAAGAGCCAATGACGTATATAAAAAAAAATTATAATTTAGATAAGCAAACTTAATACAAAACAATTAAAATACAATAAAATAAAATAAACGTTTCAACTCCAATTGAGTCATTTTCAATGCTATCATACAATAATATAAATGTCGTTCTAAATTAAAAATTCGTACATAATCTTACAATATTCTTACAATTCCTTAACAAAAAATTCTTTCTTCTTTTTGTGTAATACGCTATGAGTCATTTTTATCAAGAATTAACAAAGTCATAAGAAAGTTCTGGAAAAGTAACCGTAAACAAGAAGAATTAATATTAATCACATAAAAATTAAAAATATGATGATATACCTTAGTAAATCTGTTAAGAGTCCAATAATACACAACGAGAAAAAAATGTAAAATGTAGTCCATTTCGGGTACAATAAAAAAGTCTTTTTAATTTAATAGGTTATTATAAGCAAATTCGCAAAGGTAACGAGCTTCTGACTTAAACGATGTCACAAAACGAAATGTCAAACAGAAAAACATTATCGAGAACGGAAAACGGAAAAATAGGAGGAAAAGGATAGAAGATGTTAGAAAGGAGAAAGAGAATGTATAATGTCAGAATACAAATCCGGCAAAGACTCCGTGTCATTTTGTC